GCAATTGACTGGTACTTCAAAACCTCATTTCACTTAAAGCACTCAGTAACAATCAACTGATAACAGCCTTTAGTCATTACTGTTCTCGTCCCAGAGTTGAATAAGCAGCTGCTTCAAATTGGACACTAAATCCCCTTTCTAGTCAACAGATCAATTTGAGGTCCTCTACTGAAATCCTCTACAGGATTAAAACACACCATACCTAGTCAGCATTTGCTAGATGATATTCAAAATAGTAATTCTAGAGAAGACCGATTTCCAAGACGAAACTTTAAAAATACAACAACAAAATATCACTACTTATGTCCTGTAAAAAGTACATAGCTAGTTATAACTTATTCATTAGTTACTAACTAGCATGCCAAGTCTTTATAGAAATACCACATGAGAAGGAATCCACTTTTACCCTGGGCACAGAAAATTTCACAGCAAGAGCTAAGAAGTCTTACCAGAAAGTAGCAGCAGTGCTGACACAAGCTCTGTAACGACCCTTTGAGAACTACAGCTGCTTGTCTCTGCCAAATTTAAAGGCAGCCCACACAGAGGCATGCTGGGTAAATTGTATCAGTTGTGTTAATGATTCCAATTGTATCAATGATGAATCCTATAGTGAAGAATTTCAATTTTAGACAGCTTGTTAAAATAAGTGTTCATTTTTTAAGACTAGGAATTTAAACAAATTGCTTTAGTATTGGGAACTTTTAAAATTGTGTTCCTATCCCAAGAGTGAAGCTACTTTTAAAATTGTGTTCCTATCCCAAGAGTTCCTATCCCAAATTAGCCACTGATAAAACTCCAGACTTGCCTCTGGCTACCTCATGATGGATGTAAATTTATTACAAGACCTATTAAATTATAGCCTGGGTATCTGAAAACAAGATCTTTTTTAGTGGCCTAATTGCTCAATAAAGAGTGGAGGAAAAGGATTAACCCTGCTACACACCTCCCCTGTGCGAGCCAGATGTAGCCTGCAAAGTATCCTGAAACTCTGTATGGAATGAAGTTCCATACAGAATGCAAAAGGAGTGAGGAAAACTGCAGTAGGATGGCTTCAGAGCACATGGGCTCTTGAAGTCAGGAGGGAGAATGATTGTAGGCACCTGTGAAGATGATAGGACTATTAGAGACAGGTGAGGGGACATTGTACCAAAACCTGCAAAAACATAAGACTTAATAGTCAAGGACAAAAAAACCAAACCAAACCAAAAACCAAAAAAGTGTAATTTAAATGTCAAAACATCTGGATGTAGCTAGGAGATATGGCACAAGACCCAGTGGAAATCCACACATTTCTGGGATGAGAGTTGGAGGCCAACAACTCCATCTAGGGCTCACAAATACCACTGGAAACCTATATTTAGGTAACAAAGAGCCTTGCAGAGACAATCTGGCTTGCCATGTAGATTGGTCTTGTCTGCATGTTATGTCTTGATGTGAAGGAAGCTCTTTATTGGACTGTTCATGGGCCACAGGCATCTGGACTAGGAAGTCAAAGGAAGGAGCAGCATCCATTGTTTGCAGAAACAGCAGTGCCTTTGTTTTCCATGTGCACATGTATGCATTTTACAGGTACTGGTGACCTTTTTTTTTCCCTCTTCATTGGCCACAGAGTCAAATATAAATAGAAAAACTTTGAAAGTTGGAACTGGATTATTGAATCAGAGTGGACAAAAAGGAATTGAGGAGTAAAAGTGACCTTCTTACTGACAATCAAAGAAATTGCCATATTTACTCAGCTCAGCAGAGCAAATGATGGCAAAAAGCAGGCCAGATTCTCCACCAGAGCATAGCAGCATCACTCCACTGACTTCAATATACTTTAACATAATAGTAGTGTAGCTAGACTCTAATGGATTTCAGTCACATTACACCACTAAGGATCTTTACCTGGAGAGAAAGACTAAAACACTGATCAATTTAACAGTCTTAGTTTCATTTTATCCTGAAATTGCTCCAGTGTAAATGTCTTCAAACACACAAAACTGCTGACAACGAGCACAGTAGCTTTTGCAACATAGTATTAATAGATGTACACAATCTATCAGACAGTAAGACAGGTGTGTTATACTGATAAATACGTTGACCAAAATTAAAGTGACACCAGTAATACATGTGAAAGAAAGAGAGCTGCGTGCTGGGTTGGAAAAATAGCTGCAAAGGCAGAGGGAAACCACTGTGCGAGAGACCTGACACAGGCCAACTGTGTCTGGGTAATACCCCACTAGTCAATGGCAGACTAAGGAGGTACTTCGAGGCGTAAAACAGACACCTTCTCTCCCCACCCACAACATCTGGCAAACAGGAATTATAAGCACAGCTGACTCTTCCATTTTGCTTTGATGTATGAACACTTCCCCCTGCAACGAGGTCCAGTCAAATTGATAACTCATTTTGGGTAAGAGGGTGGGTGGAAGAACTCTTTGTGGTCTTTTTGAAACTTTCCGTTAGCCTAAGAGGAAATATTTTGCAGTGATTTAAGGCTGTATTTAGACTTTGAGTTATGCCAATTTTTAAACAAAAACCCAAACTAAAAATCCCAAAATACTTCTTTTAAAACATTCAGCTTTTCCATATGCTAATCAGTTTCTGTCCTATTCTGTACCCTGAATTCAACCTGACTCTGGTAGAAGTTTAATCTCAATATTCAACTGTCTGTGAATTTACTATTCATCAAGAAAAAATATCACTTAGATTTTGTTACCAAGAAACCTAAAGGAGAGGAATGACACAGCAGTCATAGGAATTGCATGCTGTGGGAGTGAAAAGAAAGAGAGATTTATAAAAAAAAAATGTTAACAAACATGACACATACTAGTCCCTCTGGCATCAAGAAATAAGTAGGGGAGATAAAAGCCACGTACAAATTAGGTACAAGGTAGCCATCATTTCAGATTATAGCAAGAAAAATAGTTCACACTAAATAATAGAAGGACTTGCTAGGGAAATTAAAAGGTACATAACACAAAGAATGGGTTTGAGATAATAGAATCACTTTGAGAATTACATTCATTTAATTTGCATGAAATCCTGAAACATCCCAGCCTGGCCTCACTGGGATAGATTTTTATATTGATGGTCATTAGATACTTATATTGCCAAGGGTACAGCTGCAAAAAAGGGATTAGTTGTAATTCACACTTCCTCTTCATTCTGAGAAACATTAAAAATAGGTTAATAACTTGAATTTTACCTGCATAGACTTTGAGTTTCCCTTTTCTGCTTCGGTAGGTAGTGCAGAAGTTCATTTCTAGAAGTCAAGTACTTTGTGTAAGCACCTAAATATTTAGAGGTATTTAGACCTTGTGAAATGCCAAGGATGTTCAGCGTACGGGTGGAAAGGCTGCAAGGACATCTAATTCCACAGTATTTTGTCATACCAGATGCTGCTGAAGCGGCAGTGAAGCAGTGCAGAGACAGACACACATAGTTTCTTTTGCTGCAGATTGGGCCTATTCTTCATTCACTGAAACCACCTCAAATTCCTGGGCTTTAACACTGTCCTTGGCCCAAATTTCCCTTCTCACTGTTAAAACACTCATTTGTTCATGTTAGGGATCCTCAGATGGCCAACTCTTGCAGGTAAACCCATGACCGTCGCAGTCCCTGCTGGATGAGGCTCTGCAGCACCAGGAGAGTTTCTGCAAAAGGGCAGGTTTAATTCATTCCTTCCCCACTAGATCAGGAGGGGCACTGCCAGCCCCACTGGCTGTGACGGGGACAGGAGGCCTGTGTGCCACCTCAGGCCTGTGCTGTGCCAGGGAACCCTCTGGGGAGACGAGACCTGGAGGAGATGAGTCCATCGGGCACAATGGCGCTTCGCTGGCTTCAGGAATCCTGGAGCACCTCACACTTTCCTGTCATTATGGGGCCGCTCGTCAGCATGTCATCCTGGTGGAGCCCATGGGCCTCTGAGAGCCTTCTGGAAGAGAGAGAGCAGCTGCCATCAGGGCCCAGGGGAGGTGCTGAGGCAGCAGGAGGTGGCTGTGGCTGTGGGCAGTGCCCTTCCCACCACCAGGGTGCAAGGCCTGGCTTCCAAAATGGTGTCCGCCTCAGCCTAAGGAAGACACTGAGAAGCACTGACTGGACCCTACACCACGAGGGTGCTTTCCCGTTTGTTTTGAGTCTCACACAGAGCCTGTATCACCTGCCAGGGCTGTTTCACCTCCTAAGAAGTTGTCTTGCGGCTTATTTTTGCACTTCTACACAGCATGACCTGAGGGCCCGTAAATCTTTCCTGGCCTGACAAGGCCAATTGAGCCAGGCTGAGGCCTGCCTTGGAGCAGCTGGGGGCCACCTGATAACCGAGTGGGATGGCGCAAGCTATCATTTACCTCATCTCTGCCTAGCAGTGCAGCCACGACTTACGCAGATGCAACAGGAACAGAAGCACTGTTCTGACTGTGCCTTACGTGCTCCAACGTCCACAGCCTTGCTGCAAGTGGGCAGAGGAGAGAGGGGTGACAGCAGCACAGGGGGAGGGACACTTCGAAGCTCTGAGGGAGGTGCAGCACAGAGCAGGGACACTTCAGCGAGGGGAGGGAAGGGCTGTGGTGACATCTTCACCAACCTGACACTGCTGGGAGCAGCTGATGTGCCATCCAGCCTCAGATTAGCACTTCCCCAGCCCAGATGGCGTGAGGGAGAGCAGATGCTCTGTGATTCCTTGTGCTTCCGGAGAGGGTCACCTCTTCTACATGCTTCTGAGTCTGGGGAGAAAAGGTGACTCCGGCTGGGGCCTATTTTACTGCTGGCAGCGGGACAGCAACTGCTCTCTGGATCTGCTTTGCTGACTAGAGTTTCAAGCAAAGCAGTACTAATTTGCTTGGTCTCCTGATGATCAGTCTCATTATGCATGCTGCTCTCCTCTTAACTTCCTTGAGCTGTGTTTTACAACATGAGAGTGCAAATCCTGTTCTGCCCCTGAGTTTCTGCAAAAGGGCAGGTTTAATTCATTCCTTCCCCACTAGATCAGGAGGGGCACTGCCAGCCCCACTGGCTGTGACGGGGACAGGAGGCCTGTGTGCCACCTCAGGCCTGTGCTGTGCCAGGGAACCCTCTGGGGAGACGAGACCTGGAGGAGATGAGTCCATCGGGCACAATGGCGCTTCGCTGGCTTCAGGAATCCTGGAGCACCTCACACTTTCCTGTCATTATGGGGCCGCTCGTCAGCATGTCATCCTGGTGGAGCCCATGGGCCTCTGAGAGCCTTCTGGAAGAGAGAGAGCAGCTGCCATCAGGGCCCAGGGGAGGTGCTGAGGCAGCAGGAGGTGGCTGTGGCTGTGGGCAGTGCCCTTCCCACCACCAGGGTGCAAGGCCTGGCTTCCAAAATGGTGTCCGCCTCAGCCTAAGGAAGACACTGAGAAGCACTGACTGGACCCTACACCACGAGGGTGCTTTCCCGTTTGTTTTGAGTCTCACACAGAGCCTGTATCACCTGCCAGGGCTGTTTCACCTCCTAAGAAGTTGTCTTGCGGCTTATTTTTGCACTTCTACACAGCATGACCTGAGGGCCCGTAAATCTTTCCTGGCCTGACAAGGCCAATTGAGCCAGGCTGAGGCCTGCCTTGGAGCAGCTGGGGGCCACCTGATAACCGAGTGGGATGGCGCAAGCTATCATTTACCTCATCTCTGCCTAGCAGTGCAGCCACGACTTACGCAGATGCAACAGGAACAGAAGCACTGTTCTGACTGTGCCTTACGTGCTCCAACGTCCACAGCCTTGCTGCAAGTGGGCAGAGGAGAGAGGGGTGACAGCAGCACAGGGGGAGGGACACTTCGAAGCTCTGAGGGAGGTGCAGCACAGAGCAGGGACACTTCAGCGAGGGGAGGGAAGGGCTGTGGTGACATCTTCACCAACCTGACACTGCTGGGAGCAGCTGATGTGCCATCCAGCCTCAGATTAGCACTTCCCCAGCCCAGATGGCGTGAGGGAGAGCAGATGCTCTGTGATTCCTTGTGCTTCCGGAGAGGGTCACCTCTTCTACATGCTTCTGAGTCTGGGGAGAAAAGGTGACTCCGGCTGGGGCCTATTTTACTGCTGGCAGCGGGACAGCAACTGCTCTCTGGATCTGCTTTGCTGACTAGAGTTTCAAGCAAAGCAGTACTAATTTGCTTGGTCTCCTGATGATCAGTCTCATTATGCATGCTGCTCTCCTCTTAACTTCCTTGAGCTGTGTTTTACAACATGAGAGTGCAAATCCTGTTCTGCCCCTTTTGTGTATGTGTACATACACATCTGCCCAACTAGACAGATGCTGATTTAGCAGAGCTGGGAGCGAAGAAGAGGAAAGGGAGAGGAGGTTGGCCCTCAGTGCAACTGCTGTACCCCAGCTTGTCTTTCTTGAGCCAGAACTCACAGAACAGAAACTACAAAGGACTGTGAGACTGATCTAATCCTGTCCCTCGGCCAAATCACAGGATCATTTCTTCTGCTGTGCCTGAGAATCATTTGTCCAACATGATCTTAAAAGCCTCTGACGTTCCATTCCCTTCAACATCCTCAGGTAACCAGTTTTAGTGCTTACTTATCTTTATTGTTGGAATATGTTTCCCTATGTCTAAATTCATTTGCAAGAATGACACATTGGTCCTTTTGCTGTTCACAGGACTTGTGGAGAACAGTTTAATTCCTTTATTTTTACAGCTCACAGTAAAATGCTGGTCATGTTTGTATAATCAGCCTTGGGGACCCAGGCCCAGGGCCACATGTACAGGCCACCTGCGTCCTTACTTGGTGGTAACTATCCCTCCCATGCCCCCAGTTTCTCCAGCATGGACAAACATACTCACACCTCTCTCAGTGGCAGCTCCTGCTGCTTCCACAACACAACAGCAACAAATACAGAGCAAGTGCTACCTGTGACCCCCAGGATGCATATGTCTTGAACTATATGGGTCAGGCAAAATGGCAGAATTTGCTTCCATGTAAGACAATCTGTGCTCTGTGTTATCTAAAAGTCTATGAATTATCCTCTTGGTCTATGTACAAAGGTGCATCTGTAAATATTACTCAAGACAGCACTCTTTATCTTCATAGTAGTAGAGGTGCTGTGATTTAATAAGGTTTTCTTTAATTTTATGAATATTGAATATAACCCCTCTACAAATCTTGTGTATGTGTAGTGAGATACTGCAAACTCCAGTGATTTATGCACCCTTATTGTGCAATCATTTTTAAAATAGTTTTTAAATTTAATACAAACACTTTATCCATATGATGGAGGTGCATATATTATGGCTATAGTCCTTGCTGAAAGCTTATGGCTGAGAAAAGTTACAGAAGGGTTTTGTAACTGAAAATATCTTTAATAAATGTAAGGTATTGCTATTAAAGAAAATAGTTATCCATGCTATATTTTAATTTAAGTACTTTTTATAGGAGCAGTCTGTAGTAATTTATATGGATATAGCTTTTGAATGTCTGTTTTTGTTAGTAAATAATAACAAAAAATCCTCTTACATAGAAAGTCAGTTACCTGCAGGAAGAGGTTTCTATTAACCTACATAGAAAGCAGAAGGTCTAAGGCCATACTGCTGTGAAAGATCATCGAGTTCAGTACAGTGTTACTTGTCTGCTCTCATGTCATCATGTAGTGGGAGAAGAAAGGCAGTGATATTTTCCTGACTCACTCAAAGGTTGAGTGTTGACCTGATATGTATTGGTAAGCAGAGCTTCGGAGGACCGTATAAAAGTATATTGTTTAAAGGAAAGTTACTCTAAGAACACACCTGAGAACCTTCAGATCCCATATGCCAAGGAATAATCTGCTCTCAATTATTTTTTTTTTTAAAAAAGGTGTGTTTATTGCCTGGAAATTTGTGAACCATTAAAAATTAAATTTGACCAACTACTTAAATTTTCTTCCTTAATTTGGCTGCCTCTAAACTCAAGAACCCCTAACCTTTCCTTAAATACTGCAACTTATCAGCCTGTGAAATAATTAGGCTGAATTTTATGTGAATGTCATTAGTATATTTTTTCTTGAGCCATGAGTAGTGAATAAGTACACATACTTATAAACATTTCTGTGCTGTGGCTTGTTTTAGCAGTTAGAAGTGCAGTTTGAGAAAACCTCTTAAAATACTCACTTAAATACAGTGCTGAAATAGCTTCTAGAGATTTTTTGAAATTACTTTTCACTCATGCTTTGATGAAAGTCAGCTAAAAGTTAGGACCGATGCACAGCTCAAAGCAAAGTAACATGCAAAGGTTGCTCCCTGGGGCTGAACTCACCAGCAGGCCCTAATCCATGTAAGGCCCTCTAAAAATGGCTTCAAATGGGTTTGAATAGCACATATGTCTCTTTCTGGCTGTTGGTGAAGTAGCACTTTTCACTGAAAATCAAATTCAACTATGCAATTTTGAATAATTTTAAATATTACCAGCAGAAAGCATATTCTAAACTTACAGTTCTCATTTGCCTGTTTAAGGTTCCACTTGCCTGTTTTCCCATGGGCGCATTTCACTCAGAAAAGGAATTACAAGTAACTACAAATATTGGCTTCAGAAGCCCAGATTTAAGACCTAAACCCATCCAAACAAAGAGTAATAATATCATGTGATAGACAGTGTTACAGACTAAATTTTGTAAATACGCTGCCAAGAACGCTTAGTGGAAATTGCATGTGTGTAACACTGGATGCGACATCTGGGGAACTTGTAAATAATTTGCAGTGAAGCAAGGTCATATTAGTCAGTTAATCACTTTCCTCTAATCACTGTTGTCATGGTTTACACTATATCTGATAATCTTTCGGTATTGTAACAGTTACAAGTGCTGGACTGGAGCATGACTACTCAGTGCACAGGAAACTGGTGCACAGAAAAGACAGATGTGCACACTCATACGCAAACAATTTCCCATTAAAATCAATATTGGATCCCCTGTTATTAAATCTGAGTATCAAAATACACTCAAGGCACGTTTCTGTAATTCCAAGCAGCAAAATTGTTCACAGGGTGCCATGAAACTGCTAGGAACATCACTAGTATTGATTAATGCAATATGACTGAAGGCAGAAATTAAGCTGGGGATAGGGGTCTCCATTAAAAATGTTTATTGCTAAGTGCTCATGTATCACTTCAGTTCCTCTGCAGATCTGAAAAAAACCCAACATTATAACCTTCTTCAGGGAAAAAGAAAGACATTTAGCTGACGTATTCGTCAGAGAAATTATGCTTTCTTTCTTTACTCCAATCTTATTTAGGGTGCTAAGAGTGCTAATAAAACCTGAGAGAAGTACCAGTTTGGGAAAATTGTTAAGTACATGCTTAACACAAAGCAACACTTTAAGCAAAATATATGCTTTTCCAGTCAGCTCTGTTCCGGATTCAGTGGCCTGAATCTCAGGCTGGGAAAATCAGATCTCTTATGATATTTCAAATTGGATACATAAAAACTGTTCTGCTCTCTCACTGGTATTCTCCCTACCCCACTAAATCCATTAACTTACCCAGCAGCTCCACCAGGTTGTAATCAATTCAGGAAAACATCCTGTAATGAAGAACAGAGAATGTATTGATACCATTCATTCATCCTGCCACTCTCCAAGCTTGACAGCAACTTCAGAACCTGATTGTCTGCCAAAGAGTTTTCAGAATGACCCACTTTGTTCTGCATTACTCTGTGGGCATCTACAGCTGCTCCAAGGTTCCTTACTTTTACATCCATCTCTTTCACTTGCTGTTCCAGGCTTACCCAAATGAAAAACTCACATCTGAGCCTAAAATTTTGCAATGTTTAAACATTACTACAACTGAGATGGGACTCCACTCTATAAAAATCAAAATACAGTTCCTGGTTGGTTTTTTGTGATTTTTTTTTTAATGACGTGTTGAATTTTATGAGCTTTGTAATAAAACTTGCTATATTTGTCTTTGCTGCTACCCAGAGGCAGAGGAAGGGACAAGAACTGGGAAGAATTCTGATGAACCTTTCTTTAAACTCCAGTGAGACATGGATTTGGTTCTTACTTGTTCCTTATTCCTATGCAGTCTTTTGACTAAACACAGGAATTAGCTTCTTTTTAGTGATTTCTACTTTCTTTTAGTGCTAAGTTTTATCTAAGGTTTGTTCTGGGTTGCATAGAATGGAGCGATGAGCCTGGGAAAAGAATGGCATGAGGCTAAGTCTATGGAGGAATAATTTCTGGCATTGAAGAGGAACTTCTGGATAGTTATCAGATAATAGAGACAGTAGGATGCTATTGACACAATACATATGTGAAGTATCCAGGAAAAGCTCCTTATACCCTTGCATTGGTAAGTGAAATCACTGTTGTAGTGGCACAGTCCCTACTTGCATGTCACTGATGAAAAACTTCCACTGCGCTGCCTCCAAGGGAAAACTGTACACTGTCCTGTGTGGATTCCTGCCTCTGTCTCTGGCAATCTGCACCTTTATAACCCATACTCATACATATCCCAGAAAAACAAGAGATCAGTTAAAATAAGACAGGAAAGCTCAGAAGCTTGCCAGTGCAATAGTTAGTCTGCACGCTGCTGCTTACCTATCCTAATCCATCTCAGCTGAAAGGTTTGCCATCCGGTAAGGGTCTTGGCTCACATTCAGCAAATGTCTTTATTTGGTCCAAAGCCTGGAACTGTCTTCCTCTCACGGTTCTAACACACACACACAGAAACAGGGTGATTTTTTTTTTAAGTTGTTTTTCACATCCCAGAAGACAAAATAATCTCTTAACATGCCTTTATTTGTTAATGTGTTGATAGAGTCAGTACATAGATACCAGGATACAGTCAGAAGATACTGCCTGATGCTAATGCACGAGCGCCCAGTCCTTGTAGCAAGTATGGCAGAAGGAGGAACAGCTAAAAAGCTGGAAAAACAGCAAAGGAAGCAAAGTATGCGAGTGAGTGAGAGCGAGAGAAAAATCCACAGCCAGGCCAGACTTCTGCTTGCCAAAAACAAGCTAAGAGAACTATTTCCAAAAGAAATGAGTCAAACCAGGGAAACAAAAATAATAATGCTGTGTGGAACTTAAAGCAGCAGCTGCTATTCGAGAGAAAACATGAGATGAGTTAGAAGACACAGAAGATTAGTCTTTTTTTGGTTTTCAAATTATTACATTTGTGAAGCTTTTGGCTCAAAAATGTTTGACCTAATCACATCTGTTTTAACAACTTAAATGAGAGGCCCAGCAGCTGTAGCTGGCAAAAGAATCTCCAAATCTGCAGACACCATTCCAATATTTGGGCTCTTGTCTGAACAATCTATGGATAACATAAACTCTATACCCTAAAAGTGCCTATGCTGTGCATTACCACTTACCGACTGATTCTGCAGTCCCCCCCCGGCCAACAAGCCTGCTTCTAAATTCAGCTGTTTCTTGGCTTAGCCTCTGGAAATGGAAACCCATTGCTCTGATGTATGCAAATTTATTTCATATTCTTGAAAACAATCAACTGAAGCCTCTTTGTCTACACCCAGATACAAAGGCAAACAATGGGTGCTGAAGAGAAGTGTGTGTTGACAAGTCTGAAGACAGCATAGAAAGTCTCACAAGTAAGGTGAAGCCAATCTGGCTGAGACTCCAGTGAACAGAGAAAAGACTTTTGCAGAAGGTTAAAATAGCATATAGAAGATTTGGTTTTACTACACAAATATACATATAACATATAAAAAAGGAAAAATAAACATTAATATGGTTACATAAAAATGAACTGGCTAGATGATGTAAGCTATTTTTTTTGTGCCCCTGTAACCTGCTGGGTTTTATTTAGTGAGACTTTCCTGTCTGTCTAATTTTCATTGGCACATCAATTTTCTTGCAGTGCCTGACTCTTTTTCAACATCTGCTGCTCAGTTTGACAGTATTAATTTTGGAATTTTCCCCAGATCAGATTATTTGAAGATTGTAGTGAATGCTGGCAAAAGATCTAAGTTTTCTGTCTTTTCTCCTCTCCTTAATGAAAAAATGTTTTCTTGAGATTCATAATCATTGCTATTACTGTATCTGATACAGAGAACATACTAATAGAGGCAGGTTGCCTTCTCCTTCCAAATTTCTCTCCACCTGATGTACACACACTTTATTATTCATGGCTATTGTATCCCTGAGTTGTAAGCACAATCCTCTAAGCATACATGTTGAAAAGGTTCAATTTTTCATGTGTGTAGATACTGAAGCATTATTCCATAAACAGTATTGAAGCAGGTGGGTTTGGATGGGGCATAAACCTAACATTTGTGTTGATAGACTGTGTATTTTCCATATCTGGAGTCATGGAATATCAAAATAAGAAACATGTATACCAGTCCATTTTATTTTTTTTTATTACAGTTAGTAGTCACAGGTGGGTGATCTACCCCATTAACCATGTCTCAAACATAGTCTTTGCCCCAGGGAGCACACAGTCTGTGTTTAAGGAAAGAATCGAGATGTTCTCAAGCAGAAAGAAGGGATATGCTCAGGAAATAATATTTGTCAGTATGATCAGTGGCAGCATCGTACACTAACAACATGATATTATTTTTGTACAGATGATGGCAATTTAGCTATTTAAGCAGAACAATGAAGCACCTCTGTGAAATCCCTTTGACCATATTTTCTGTGCATAAAAGGAACAGAGAAAAGACCATTGGATGTTCATTTGAAAAGTACAAGGGGTAAACCACCACAAGCCAGACTGTAGAAAGAAGCAAGAGGGGCAGGAAATGAATTCAAACTGTCCTCGGTGTGTTAGGAGACGGAAACTAGTCAAGTAGTGCTAAATAAAATAGGGTACCTTCATTTACTTGGTGTAAAAGAGATACAAGGGAACTCTTTGCTGCCCAAATGAAACTCTACTGCCTGCATTTGTCCTGCAAGGATATGGTTAAAACAACAAGGTAGGAAAATAGCCATTATAGCAATGTTCTAGGTGGATATGGATAGAGCAAAATGAATTGGCAATGCCAGTAAACAGGATGCTGCAGTAATCAAGATGCGAGATGGAGAGTCTCCGGATGAGAATTTTAGCTGTGTAGGCAGTACTGGAGAGCGTATGTCTAAGATTTAAAAAAAACATCCAAACAACAACAAAATCCAACTTTGCAAGATGTAGATATAATATGACTGTGAGGACCCAGAAAGCATTACAAGATAAGCATGATACTCCAGTTACTGGCCTGATTAACAAATGGGACTGACTGTTGTCCATGGTGATTAAAGAAGGACGTGACAGGGAGGAAGCTTGGAGAGAAAGATTAAAAGCTCCATTTTAGTCCTGTTCGGTTCAAGGTGATGGCCAGACAACTACAGGGAATGCTGGGAAGACAGACCAATTTTATTTTGACCAGAGTGAGACAGGTCTGGAATGCAGAGATAAAGCTGTGAGTTCTCTACAGAGAAATGGCAAATCTAGATTGGATTCAGAAGGGTTAAATAGTTTATACATAAATAGGTTCTAAATATCTGCAAGTGATAAGAAGGAGAGGCTCTTTACATGTAAGTGTACCATCTTAAATGCAGACACAGTGAATGTACCTCCCCCCAAATCTAGGACCTGTATAATTGCATATGCACTTCATTAATAAGATGCTCTTATTTAAAGCACTGTTGGTGCTACAATTTTTTATAAAGGGGAACAAAATACAGCTGCAGCTTGGTATAGGTATATGGTATCCTGATGTGAGGGTCTTAAATACAATAAATCAAGCTGATCTGAAAAATAATCTCTTCACAGACTAGGAAATCCTGATTAGCATAGAGGCTGATCTTTGCTCTCATTTGTGATCAAACAGATAGTAGATATCCATCAAGCTGTTCTTCCTACAGGTTCTGAAAAAGAATTATTTTGGTTTTTAAATACGTGGGAGGTGTTCAGATACTGTTAGCCAGGGAGATCTGAGAAGTATTGGCTGGTTGTGGGTAATTTATTGCCTGCATTTGGGTATTAGCAAGATCTGTCATTTAGCTTTGTAGAAACCCATATGCTTTCATGAGGCACTTGACTTTTATAGTCATTCCATTTAAAAATCAGCTGTCCTCACTATTTCAGTTCTAGATCTTTTGATCCTTATGCTTTAATGTACTGGACTGTTCAAAGTTAGCAGGGAGCTGCCAAGTGTACAAATGATGTTTTAGCTTGATTAGCTCTGGCTTACCCTCCTTAGCATGAACTACACATAAGTGCATGCAAATATTATTGATTCAGAGTGACTGATCTATAATATTGCTCTGGAGGTGAATTATCACAGACAAAGAGCCAGGAGAACTAAGTGCTCTGTCTAGGCTGCACCATTAACAGCAAGACTTTGGAAGGCTGACTTTTAAACTACAGTCTCCATGGATTTGGGGGATTAACTTCCTCCTCTGACTAGGCACAGACAGGCTCACTTCATAGCCCTAAAGCTCCCCATTTATTTATGTAATTTAGTATGAAACATGCATTTCTGTTCATAATTGGCATTTTATACATCTGTACATACTACTGATAATGTTTAGACCATTTTCATTACGCTACAGTCACAGTAGATATCTTTGCATTTTGATGACACTGAGTGAGCATTCATAGCAAAAGATATGGCTGCCTATATATTCTTAAAGGTGTGACAACTGCTTATGTTCTACAGCCACTTTCCTGGCAGTAACTAATTTGAAAACAGGCATTTTTATCTCATCAAGTACTCTAGGAATTAGCTGGTCGATGTTTTTATCTATATGTGAGTTTTAAGTTTGATTCAGATCAATCCCTAGACATTAGTTCTTTGCAATCCTGAAACCTTGCTGCTGTTCAGTTACCCTGCTGACCTATTCTGGAATGGGCAAAATAGCCTGCTATAGCTGAAGTCACTTTAAATACATTCCAACGGCAAAATTTTAACACAGGTGGAAGTGGTAGTGCCTCCTATCAATGAGTGTGCTGATGTTTCCCATTTTAACACCCTATTTTCAAATACTATTTAACTCTGCCAAACTTTAATCCTTTGGTCTGAAATTTTATTTGCCAGGTGATCTGCATCATAGAGAAGCCCGTAGGAGAATGATGAATTTTATCTCCAGGGCGGGGTCCAGATACAATGTCAGCCATGAGAAGAGAAAAAAGCACTGAACATCTCACATTCACTGCACTAAGAGTGGCTGGGGTCCAGTGGTAAAAATATTGCACTAAATCAAAATGCATATGCCCGAGAAGAAAGCGTAGAAAATTAAAGCTGGACAGCAACAGAGGCTCTGGAAAGCCTGAATGCTGGGGTTTCTGTCTCTGCAATCTGTTCTTGGTAATGTTATTTTTGTATGTAATTAAGCATAGGAAAGAAGCATAAGCTTTCTTTGTTAATAGTTTCAGCATCATTTAAAAATTCCCTTTTTCTGGCTGAAGAAAACATTACTGCAGGAGATGTATAGCCTAGCAATGTGTTGCAGGATGAATGTGAAGGGCTTGCAGCAACACCATTTCATGAGAAACTATGCCATCTGGAGCATTAAATATGGCCATGGCACAAGTTCTTTCTAGCAGGTACCTCAAACACAAAGGATCGTATTTCCCTGAATCTGGTCATAGCTGACTCCACATTTCTCAGTAAATTGAATGGCCTTTGCTTGCGGCTGTATCTGTGCCGTCATGCAAGGAACAGATTGACTCTGGCTTGCAACTGTTGGATTATTCCCTGGAGTTGA